AGGAGGTTTTCACTCAAAATCTCACAATACATGACTCCATTCATTCTTTCATTTACACGGATCAGTCGTCCTGGTCCCTTTGCAGAAAAACAGCCCCAAAGCATGATGTTTCCACCCCCATGCTTCACAGTAGGTATGGTGTTCTTTGGATGCAACTCAGCATTCTTTCTCCTCCAAACACGACAAGTTGAGTTTTTACCAAAAAGTTCTATTTTGGTTTCATCTGACCATATGACATTCTCCCAATCCTCTTCTGGATCATCCAAATGCTCTCTAGCAAACTTCAGACAGGCCTGGACATGTACTGGCTTAAGCAGGGGGACACGTCTGGCACTGCAGGATTTGAGTCCCTGGCGGCGCAGTGTGTTACTGATGGTAGCCTTTGTTACTTTGGTCCCAGCTCTCTGCAGGTCATTCACTAGGTTCCCCCGTGTGGTTCTGGGATTTTTGCTCACAGTTCTTGTGATCATTTTGACCCCACGGGGTGAGATCTTGCGTGGAGCCCCATATCGAGGGAGATTATCAGTGGTCTTGTATGTCTTTCATTTTCTAATAATTGCTCCCACAGTTGATTTCTTCACACCAAGCTGCTTACCTATTGCAGATTCAGTCTTCCCAGCCTGGTGCAGGTCTACAATTTTTTTTTCTGGTGTCCTTTGACAGCTCTTTGGTCTTGGCCTTGGTGGAGTTTGGAGTGTGACTGTTTGAGGTTTTGGACAGGTGTCTTTTATACTGATAATGAGTTCAAACAGATGCCATTAATACAGGTAACGAGTGGAGGACAGAGGAGGCTCTTAAAGAAGAAGTTACAGGTCTGTGAGAGCCAGAAATCTTGCTTGTTTGTAGGTGACCAAATACTTATTTTACCGAGGAATTTACCAATTAATTCTTTAAAAATCCTACAATGTGATTTTCTGGATTTTTTTTTCTCATTTTGTCTCTCATAGTTGAGGTATACCTATGATGAAAATTACAGGCCTCTCTCATCTTTTTAATTGGGAGAACTTGCACAATTGGTGGCTGACTAAATACTTTTTTGCCCCACTGTAAGTAATGAGTTACACTACTGTTCAAAAGTTTGGGGTTGGTTAAATTTTTTTATGTTTTTGCCAAGAAATTTCTTATTAACCAAGGCTACATTAGTTTGATAAAAAAAAAGGTAAAACCAGTAATATTTAAAAATATTATTACAATTTAAAATAGTTTTTTATATATATTTTAAAATGTAATTTATTCCTGTGTTAGAAAAGCTGGGATTTTTAAGCAGCGAACAAATTTCATTCTAGTATGCTGATTTGGTGCTCAAAAAATATTTTTTATTATGGTGAAATGTTGAAAACATTTGTGCTGCTTAATATTTTTGTGTAAACCATGACACATTTTTTTGCAGGATTCTTTGATGAATAGAAAGAACAGCATTTATTTGAAACAGAAATATTTTATAACATTGCAATCAATGTCTTTGTCACTTTTAATGAATTTAATAACTAAATTAATTTCTTCCCTCATATTTTTGAAACCTTTTTTTTTTCTTAAAATGTGAATATAACTTGTCAACAATGAGTGTCAAGCTAATTAAGAGAAAAAAAATGAAATGCTTCAATGTTTTCATATGTGTTCTTATAGTGTCATGCTGAGCAGGGAAGCATGTGAGTATAGAAAGAGCAATTGTGTAGTACGGAATAGGCAAATAGATTTGATGAGGAGAGAGATAGGGCTTCCTGTGATGACCGTGCAGCGGTCAGATAGGGGAAGGAGACAGGAGTGGGCAGGCATTAACAGTCACAAAACTGAAGCGAACAGAAACACATTCATTAGTCCGGTTGTGAGCTACCAGTCCATGTGAACATCTAGGAGAGGAATTTTTTTTTGGCTCCACCACCATGGTGAGTGCTCTTTCTGGTTTCATCCTTGAATTGTCACATAGTATTGACCGGTGTCTAACTTTATGGCAATTTTTTGAGATATTGGTTTAGATAAATTTATGGTATGAAATCAGATGTTTAGCCTGTGAAGGTGCAGGAGTTTTTCTGCATAAACTGTCTTTCCTAGCACACTGTGTTAATCTTTTCCTGTTCGTCTACTTATTAACTCATGTTACTTTTCACCTAAAATATTTCTATTGGTCATGTATGTGCTCGTAATTTCCATTATCATAGGGTTTGTTTGGTGGATTGATAAGTAAAAGATACACAGAAAATAACATGCTATGAAATTAAATGCTGCGTTTCCTACAAAATTTCACAGCAACTTTCAAACACAATTCACATTTTTAAAATACGGTTCATCTGGGGAATGTTTAGGGGATTTTATCATGTGTTTTTGCAAAATTAGATTGTGTAAAAAAAGATTGTGTAATGTTTGGTCAGTTTTTGCTTCACCGACACAACTCGGTTCCTCTTCATCTGAAAACACACTCAAGTTTCTCTTGAATTCTTCTGCCATCTGGTTTCATTGGCTAGATGCACCTTACCTTCAATGAATCGCTCTTTTTAACCATAGCTAGAATGTTTCACAGACCGGTTTAATTTTATATCTGGTTTTGCTCTTTGTGGTCACAGCAAACCATTCAGATTCAGCTCCATAATACCACATCAACAAAGTGAAACTAGGACACCTGTTTCAGATTGCATCAGTCACAATGTGGGATCTCCCAAATCACCTTCTCATGGTCATCTAAGGTTCTCCATAACCATCTGAGAAACACACACTGACCATCCATTGGCTCGTTGTTAAGCACGTGTTAACACACACCAGGGCTCATATTCAAAACACACATTACACAAATCATCTATCCAAAGAACGGAACTATGGACTTTTTGTGAGGCTGCTTTGCATGTCGGGAGCCTTGAACAGTACAGCTGTTGTTAGTAGTAACGGCCATAAATAAATAAATAAAAATGGATTCTGTATTTATCTCGGTAGATATTAGAACTCATTTACAAACACAACACTTATTTTGACAATTAATTGAATTACATTTACCTCTGACTCTGGGTCACTTCACTTCATTTGAGCTCAGCTGATTTTTCCATGACAGCCGTTTGATGTCAGTTGTTCTGAACCTGATGCCATGTCTGAGATTACACAGACATGCTCTTTGTGTGATCTCACTGCATTAGATAACAAACGATCAATCCAAGTGGCATCTGCAAACAAAATGACGTCAATGAAGGTTTTGGTGCAAATTCACACAGGTGTAGTTCATCACATCAAATATGGACATGTTCAACTAACGTTTGCAACTAGAAAGTCTATCAGTCACGGTCACATTATAATTTAACCATGCAAAATAAGTTCAGATCCCGCAACAGAGTATGAAATTAACCAAAAAAAAAGACAGATTTTGGGCCTATCTTCTCCCCAGCATGGGACACTAAGGGTTAAACTATTAATCCGAAAGACCATGATAAATAAATAAATCCTAACTACTCTACAATGAATATAGGCAATATGAAAAACACAATAGTAAAATCATAAAATAAATAACATTATAAGCAATAAAATAAATTGTAAATAACAAATAATAAGTTACAATGTAAAAATATACAAACTGCTTCATTCTCTCACAAAACTACAAACCCTGAGCTTTCAAGTTGAAATTATTTTATTGAGCTAAGGTCACAATATGAATTTTCAGGTCAAAGTAGAAAAAAAACATGAACAAAACGACACGGAGCAAAATCTATTGTCACCACACTTTTTTGTCTTCATTTTGAACAGTCTATTGTCTTACCTTTTAAAACCTAACAAACTTAAATAAGATGCAACCTTAACTTGATTAATTATAAATTATCTTACCATAGATGGCGAAAAAATTGTAAAGTGTTAATCATCACATTTTACTGTAAAATACAGTCCAATGTATGGTTTTACGGTAATTCCCAGAAGTAATAACTTATCACATATGATTATTTTCTTGAAATAGATTTGTTTCCTATTTTTGTTATCAGTAATGTACACTGGGATGTTTTTTTGTTACACTTTCAGTTATTTAGTTAATGTTTATTGCATTACATTAGTGTCATGTGAGTTAGCCTGCATGGTGTTTTGTCTTTGTGTTTATGGCTGACCATGACAGGCAACTTATGATGAAATCTGATTCATGATGGTTTTCCAATATACCACCTGCACTATGGTGGTTATCAGTACATTTTAAGGTGAAAATCAGATTTTGATAGTTAAGTAGATTGGTAATATTAACATTGTATGACTTAATGAAATATATACAGTTATAAGTTGTAAAATACAAAGGCATCCTGTAATACAGGTAATTTTTTTTACAAATAATTTCTTTTTTTACCGTAAATTTTATACAGCAATGCAAAGACATACATTTATACATTTGGGGGAAAAAGTGTTGCCTATACTGTATATCCATATACTAAAGTGCTATATGTGGTTTAAAATGACTTAAATTAACTTGCGAGAAATGCCTACAGTGCTGTTGTTTGTCAAGAGCATAGTGATATTGTAATTGATTGATCAATGTTAGTTCCTGTGTCTAGCAGTTTCTCTTTTTGCTCAGTGAGTCAACAGCACAGTGTGTACCTCTGGGTCAGTCACATTAGAAGCTAGTCCAGAGCTTATCAGCGCTTCCTGGTGAGAGGTCTGTCCTGAAACAAAGGCTTGTTACTAAGGGTGCACCACACACGTCGCCCAGAGTCTCACATCTATGGCTTTGTATCGCTAGACATGTTAACACTGGTCCAGGGGATCGTGTTTCTGTGAAAACAAAGACATGTAGCTCTGAGGTATCTGGGTAAAAAAGCTTGGTTACACATCAGGAACATACTGCAGACACATAAATGACGGGTTTTTTTTTTTTTTCCCAGAAGGAGATTTGCATCCAATTGCGTGAAATTTGAATGACGACCAATTGACAAACTGGTCTTAATAGCTATTTTGTGGTTATAAAATAATGTTTCATTTCACTGCGTCCTGCATTTCATTGTGCCCTTTATACATCTAGCACAAATTATATATACAGTGTTCGAAAAAAGTATTTTCAATACATTCTTTTGTAGATATGAGTACTATAGTAGTGAGTGTAGTGACTTCCTGCTAGTTTGGTATGATGTTCTCAGTTCCTGTGTGATCACAAACAGTTCTCCTGTTCAGTGCAGTTGACTACAAAGAGCTGTGATGGAGAAATCAAGTATGCTAAGTTGTAGTGAAGACCCAGAATCAGAGGTAAAAGATATTTCATAAATATCTCTAACATGCAATGTGACTTAAATGTCAAATATCGCTGCTGTTTACATGTTTTATTCGATTTATTAGACAGACAGTTCAGGTGGCTTATTTAAAGTAATGAGCATAAATCTGATAAATATTTGTACAGAATAAACTGACAGTTCAATATAACAAAAGGCAGATATTTGACATTATATAAAAAATACACTTGACACAACCTTAACCCTAATTCAAAAATCTAAATAGAATACACATTCAATAAGACAAACATTAAAAGTATGTACGCTTGAGTTTATATACTGCTTTGATGTCAAGTTTATTCCTAGTATTATTCATATTGTATATAAATATTTATATATTTTAAAGTGGAAAGATTATGTTGTATTGTTTTTTTTTTTAGTTTGTACATAATTTACTTTAAATTGCCATGTATCCACGTATCTGCATGCCAAATTAACTCTTACCGTAAGCCTTCATTGTAGTCATGCAGTCTGTCTTGGTTATGAGCTGTTGAGGCTTATGGGAAGGAAAACTCTGAAAGAGATTTACCAAACAGCGTTACCCAACCGAACCAAACAACTGCAATTGAGCGACACACAAACCACAAAAACTGCATGACCAAATATAATCCCCAGCATTGGCCCCTAACGCTCATGGAGGTGCACTTTCATCTGTTTTCTTTGTCATTTTTTGCTCTCAAAACAATACTTTTTTATGGCGCCATGGTCATTATTTTTGAACCCAAGGGAATGAACTGATAAAATGCTGAATGTAATGTAAATCGCTTTGGATAAAATTGTCCAAAAAAACAGATAAAAGCTAAAACAGAATGACGAAATACACAAATACAGATGTAAACACTCTGCCCAGGTTTGTCTTCATTCCTCAAACTTTGACTTTCAATCTTGGCTTGCAGGACAACAAGTCCGACGTAAAAGCAATGATGGCTCGTTTCCAAGCAGGAAGTGTATCTACAGAAAGGACTCCAGGTGTTCGTCCAAAACAACCTGTCCAGCCCACTTTGTCTTCAGGCCCAGCGGTGCCTGCTAAGAAGCCTGTTCTTGAAACTAGCCTATCCAGTGGATTTACTACTACCTCAACCGCCCCTAAACCTAAGAGCACAGTCAACACAGCTAGAAGCGCTCCAGACATGCACGAACCTCCGAAGTTAAAGGCTTTTGGGACTAGGTTTGAAAACACACAAGAGAACAACAAAGTCAACTTTAAAGTTCCTGTTAAACCCAAACCACCAGACTCGTCTCAGGACCATGAGACTCCAAAGGTCCCATTCCCAAAGGCACCACTACAGAAGCCTCCTTCAAGCATCATGGCGAATGATTCAAAGCCAATGGCTCCTACGACAAAACCATCCTGGATCAAAGACACCCAGAAAGCTGAAGACAACAGCACTAACCCTACTCCCACTCCTCCAAAAAAGCCATTGGCACCCAAACCAAAAAGCAACATGGCTATGCTACGCCAACAGCCAGAGGAAAGCAGCAACATGGAGTCTCCTGCAAAGCCTTCCTCAGTATCTAATGTGAAACCATCAAGTTTCCGTGTTAAAAATAGCTTCAACAAACCAGAGGAAGGTGCTAAAGTACCAAGTGCTAATGAGTCAGTCTCAAAGCTCGTAGTGCCTAGTAAACCCAACTTCCCAAGAAAATTATCCGGACCTCGTGTACAGACAGCCAACGATGATCCTTCGGCACCCAAGAAGAAACCTCTACCCAATAGCTATGCTCTGGGCAGCGCTCCTGCCAAACCCAACAGACCGCCCAAAGTCAACCTTGAGAAGTTCAAGAAGGGCTTAGAGGCTACAACAGACAGTGAGTACTGACTTTCTAGCTCAAAATGTGCAAGCTTTCTGTATGGCAGCATCTGAGGTAACAAAACAATAGGCAGTAAGCACTTCATCAGTCATATCAAACCCACAAAGACTTTGTGAGCCACTGCTCATATGCAAGCACAGTAGAGTAGACTTTGGGCCAAAGTGGTTTCCGTGGTTTTACTTGTGACTGATCTGTGTTCCTCTGAGACCGTTTGCAACCATGCGCAAAATAATAAGCACTATAAAGCCATAAAGATGAGAAACTGAGCAGACACATATCTTAGTCAGTAATTTATGTCCAACTGAGGAACATCACATGACTGTATTGAAAGGTTAGATACTGTTGATTTATGCATTTTGACACAGTGCAACATACGTGTCTTTGATCTTTATTGTGTATCTTAGTTAACACACAGTACACTATTACAGCATGTGAATTGGCATCAGATGCACCATCGTGAAACAAACATTCAGGTGCATCTGCTATTCAATAGCAATAACAACATATTGGAAATTCAAGATTTCCTGCATGCGCTTAGCTAACTTCCTCGTATTGAGTTTCTCTTTTCACTTGAGAGCTGAAGTCAGTGAAAAAACAGGGAAGCTCATTTAAAATGGGAACAGTGTTAGAGATAGCTTTCATTTTTAACCAGTGAAAAATCTGTGAGATCCTGTATAGGACCAGGTTTTGCCCTTTGCACCATGTGAAAACATCTAATGATTTAACTATGGTTAAAAACATTAGGGTTCAGTGTTCAATTTCTTTTTTCTTTTGAAAAACATTTAAACTTTTGTTCACCCCAAAATAAAACTTCATATGCCATGTTGATACAAACCTGCATAGCTTTCTTTCTTCTGTGGATCACCAAAGTAGATATTCTGAAGAGTGTTTTTGTCCATACAATGTTCTTTTGAATTCTGTAAGACTAAGAAAGTCATACAGGTATGAAAAGACATGAGGGTGAGTAAATGATGACAGAATTGACATTTTGGGTGAACTGGTCATGACGTTAACTATGTTCTTGCAGGTCTTGGACCAAAGAATGTAACTCCCCCTCCCCCACCTGCCTCTCACCCCAGTAGTCAGGCACCTCCACCACTGCCCTCTCAATCCTTACGTCCCAACCTGCCCCCACGACCTCCAGGACCTATGTGAGTAACACAGAAATGCTTCGCTTAGCACTGTGACCGAATGATTCAGGTTATGACACTTTCTTTAACATCCAAATTTGGTGAAAATTCACAACTTTATATCTGTCTGCAGAATTCAAGATGAACATTATGACGATGTGGATAGCTTGAGAGCGGGTAAGACCTACCCTTACATTATTGAATGGGAGTCATTTTAAAGCCAACACCTGATAATTATTTAAGTATATATATATATATATATATATATATATATATATATATATATATATATATATATATATATATACTGTATATACTAACACAAAAGATATACACTAACACACAAGAAGTTTCTTATACTCACCAAGGCTGCATTTAAATGATAAAAATACAGTGAAAATTTAAATATTTAAAATAACTGTTTTCCATTTTAATACTTTTCAAAACTTAATTTTTTCCTGTGATGCAAAGCTGAATTTTCAGCAGCCATTACTTCAGTCTTCAGTGTCACAAGTTCCTTCAGAAATCATTCTAATATAGGGATTTGCTGCTCAAGAAACACTTCTTATTAATTTGTATCGATGCTTAACATTTTTGTCAAAAAAGTGCTACTTTTTTCCAAGATTTTTTAATAAACAGAAAGTTCAAAACAACAGAATTTGAAATAGTGAACCTCTGTAACATTATTATTATATATATATATATATATATATATATATATATATATAATTTAATTTCCAAATTTAAAATAGATAGGAACTCCATAGTTTATGAAATCCAATTCTAAAAACTTTTTTTCTCACATTTTCTCATTACAGGCCAGATAAATGAGGTAAGAAACTTAGTAAAGGCATACAGAAACTTCTTTAGAAAAGTTTGTGGTGCACTGTCTCATGTCTTACCTCTTTTAGGGAAGTGGAAGTGATGGTGAGATATATGAGGATCTTGATGATAGTAGGTAAGATTTTAAGTTCTATTAATGCTGACGCTGTCAGTGAGATATAGCGGTCACCTCACCCACCTGGAACAGAGTGATACAAACCGTTTTTGTTGCCAATAATCAAATGATTAATTTCATGTTCTGCAGTTTTTACTTGTGTTTTGGGTTAATAAATGGTTTATGGTCTGCTTTACCACAGATCGGCTGCAGAGCTAAGTCAACCTCAGAAAAAGCAAGACAAAGAACTTAAAATTCAGAAAGACCGTGATAAAAAAGAGAAAGACGCAATTAAGAAGTTTAAAGTAAGTAAAATAAATTTAATAAAAAAACATTTAGCACTTACACTTACAACCAGTTATCAAGGTTTACTTACTGGATCATGGTGATTATTATGTTTGTTCTTTCCTCAGATATCAACGCCCCTGCAGGTTATTCATCAGGTAAAAGCTAAAGCTGACTGCAAGGGTGGAAAACATGACCTCTCCATAAAGAAGGGCGAGTCAATTGATATAATTCGAATCACTGACAATCCAGAGGGTAAATGGTTGGGCCGAGGTTAAAATGGATCATGTAAGAGTTCACCCCGTTAAAAAAAAAAACAAGGTTTAATGTGAACTGGTCACTGATCCCCTGAGAAAAGATGAAGTGCAGTCATTTCTCTATGTTTCAGTTGGCTATGTTAAAACGGAAATGGTTGAGATCGACTTCAGCGTCTTGAAGAATAAAGGCCTGTCTCTTCCTCATAACTTGGAAAGTGAGGAGGTGTACGATGACATAGAATCTATGGAAGATCAAGGGTAAGAGCCTGTAACACTTCCCAACAAAAGTTCATTTCAACACATTTGAATTGATTCTGCAGAATTCTAAAGATTTTCCCTAATAATGTGAAAAGGCAGATTTGATCTGGATGCTACTTTAAGCACTTTTCAAGTCTAGAAATAGCCAAGAAATACTGCTGTTCGCATTTAAGTGAGAATTCATATTTTTCTTTAATCTTTCAGGAATATGAATGGGCAGTGGGGTAAGTTTTAATATAACTAATCCTTTTTTCAACTAATTGACTGTAAGGTTTAAGTTTAATACTTTAAATAGTAGCTGTAAATGTGATAGTTTAATTTTGAGAGGTGATACTTCAACAAGTCTGCCCTCTGCTGTATAGTTGTTTTACCTCCACCGCCAGATGATGATGTGTATGATGATATACCCGAACCCAATATTAATCCAATCAGGTAAGAACAAATAATATAATATGATATATAAGGTTTGCAAACTATATGCATTATACTGTATGTGTGTGCCTGTATTTCTGGGTTTGTTGTTTGGCCACTTGTGTTATGGATCTGTCTCACCCAAACCACGTTCCTCTGAATCCATAGCATTGGAGATCCCAGGTCTCTCTTAATACCGCGCAACTTCTTGGACATTCTCAAAAGCTCGGTTGACAGGAGAAAAAGCCAAATCCACAATAATGAGTCATTTTTACATTAGTAAGATGGAATCAGACAATGTTACTTTTCAATTTCCAATCACAATTGCACTTACAACTGCATCCATTTGTTTTAACAAAGAAAATTGATTAACCATTCGTTTCACAATCAATCCAATCTGTGTGAAAATGCCAAATAACTCCTTCAAGGAAGTTCTTCTGAGCCTCCTGTTATGAATGCTTTTCGAATCTTTTCTAACATTACTAGATGTGCTTGATTGTGTGTCCTTTTCCCAAGACTTCCACCTCCCTTGATTTTGCCTTCTTTTTCTTACAGAAAAAGAGTTCATTCTAAATTAAATCAGCTGAGTTTCTTTTTCCCGTACAATTATCAAATATTTATATACTTTTAATAATCTGTTTCAGCATTCCTCCCCCTCCACAATTTACACCTGAAGGTAATAAAGGTTAAAAAAAAAATGGTATTCCTATATCACGCCTTCAAATGAACCCACTGTGAATTCTTTTGTCTTCAAATGTCTTTACAACACAGACGTTTCTCAAGATATATATGATGATGTTGATTCATTCCCTCCCGCTCCATCACCTGGCAGGTAAACAGATGTTACCTTAAGTGCTTTTCCATTAATGTTGTAAGATAAGATGATGCAATATAAAGAATTAAACTCTTAAAATGTACTACTCTACATTAGCACATTTAAATCAGCCTGTCTTGTTGATAATGATATTTCATTGTCGCAGCCTTCCTCAATTAAAATCGAAGGCGATCAAAGTGCACGGGGACCCAAAAAAGCAAAAGAAGTTTGAGAAAGAAGAAAAGGAATTTAGAAAGAAGTTTAAGGTGCGTATGAAATTATTGGATTACATTATGGTCAATTAAAACACAATGGTGAGTGACCTGTAAACACAGAGTGCTTTCTTGATTGAATTTATAAGCAAATGATTTGGCATTTACTTTACCAGTACGATGGTGAGATTCAGGTGCTTCATCAAGCAACAATTGCCACAAGTAAGAAGGGAAGTGGGAAAGACCTGGCTGTACAAGCTGGGGAGACTGTGGATGTCGTCAACAAATCTGACCCTGACAAATTCATCTGTAGGAACAAGGAGGGCAAATGTAAGTGACATTATTTGTGATTCCAAATGAGACTTGATCTACACCAGGATAAGTATTAGTAATGATGACACTGTAAAATGTACTTTTCAGTTGGATATGTCTCAGCCAGCAACATCCAAACAGAGTAAGTTACTCTGAAAGTGTTTTTTTTTTTTGTAAATTGCTTAGTCAATGTGTGAATATGCAAAACTAAATCTTTACATTTTGTTTACATAGTGATGAGGTCTATGATGACATCGGAGATGGTACGTAACAAATTCATTAACATGAACAATATATGAACATTTAAAATGTTAATTCTCCTACTAGATGGGATGTAATTTAAGATTGGTAGAATGATGGCCATATTAATATCTTCAAAAAAATTGTCTTTACAGACTGTATCTATGACAATGACTGAAGACCTCACACCATCATCATCTCATCTTCTGGTGCAGCTTATTATTTCTGGCCCTGTTTGTGTTCTTGATTGCTGATGTTGAGTGTATTTATTGTATAGAAACATGTATTAGGTTGAAATAAACAACCTAGTACCATCGTGATATCGTAGTTACCTTAACTCAGTAAAAATAAATGGCATCTTGTCCAAATTGGCCTCCGAATACAGTTTTCCAAGGTATACAGTTACAAATATACAAATACAGTTTACTTTCACTTTCTGTTTCCTGTCATGTATTTGAGAAAACAAGCTGAATCTAATTCTAAGACACATGTTTGTTCCCGAGTGAAAGGCAGTATTTTGTAACAGGTCTCAATTTTCTCATTTACTTATTGTGTTTTTGTAAATATTACACTGCAAAAGACTGAACTGTTTTCATCACTTGCTAATAATAAATGTATACATTTGCATCACTTTTAAATTCAGCATGCTAATTATGTTGACTGAACAATGTTTATATCTATGTTCACTTGATTTACGTAGATTTTCGAAATTAAAATTTTATACATAAATCAAATAATAGTAGGGTAAGATACGCCCACCAGGCCAAGATGACCAGGTTCTTCTTAATTTTGTCATTTCAACTCAATATCAGTCAAGATTTTGTCAGTCAAATCAGTTTTAAGGTTATTTGATCTCATTTTGTGTCTGGAAAATAGTGATCTGTGACATTGTATTATGTTGAATATATCGTTCCTCAATTGAGTTGGCCTCTGGACATTACGTATGGGGAAACCCTTTTCCTCTGAGATGCTGAAGCCTGATTGAATCACTCTATTGCTCCGCAATAGCCAATGGCATTCGAGCTTTCACCTGATTGGCGGGCTCAGCCCCAATATAGGTGATGTCGGGTGCCATTAACCTCTGAATCTTTCTCCTTCACTTAGCCATACTGTTTTCAAGAAGCCTCTTATCGCTCACTGTTGAAGGTATGCCATATTGGTCCGGCAAGACTGCTCTGTAAACAAATACAAGTAAACGGGGAGCTGCGGCTTTTCTGAACAAAAAGTGGAGTAAAGTTTAAATTTATCAACCGATTTCAACGGTTTATGATCTTCGTGGAATACGAAACCGTTTCTGTTTCTAATTACTCAGAATCTCGCTAGTTAGAACTATTAGTCACTAGTATTCATTGTCATAAGGAATTGTGAAGAATCACACTTGTCAAGAATAGATATGTTTTATTTTTCTTGGTTAATAATTGTGGAGATCTCCTTAATGTAAAGTAGATGGTGGAAATGGCTTTTTCTTTCTTCAACACCTTCATTTTTAGCTTTTTTAAAATCACGTCATAGGATGCCACAGGACAATTTCAGATGAATGTGAAGATAATTTGCTGAAGCATTTATCTTTACCTTTTCATTTTTTTACAATGTATTTCTATATGTTGCCTCCTAACCTTATGCTTATAGCCTAATGTTTGTATAATATTTGTTTTATTTTTCATAACACAACAATAAATGGCTTTATAGAAATGTTTTATTATAGTAAAAAAATACATAAAATATTAATTAAATAAATAATTTAATTAAATTACAAAAATATAAATAATTGTGTCTGGCAACTTGAAAATGTGTTTTACTGAGGTCTAAAAAACATTTACTGATCTATAAACATCTATAAGCATTTCACAGATTTACTGTCAGTACACCATAGTTATACAAAAGAACCAAATGCATTTATTTCAATTCAAATGGATGGAAACGGATAGAAAAATTATTGGGCTTGAAATATTCCTTATCCTGTGGCTCCCTCTAGTGGGCAACGTTAATATCACAGCTTGAACCCCTATAGAATCATCCTTAATGGATCCAGTAAACAATTACGATACAGCGGTAAACATTTACAACACAACTAGTAGTTTAAATTTATGAATTTAAATATAAGTGTACTATAAGGTTAAAGGTTAGATGTTATAGTTTAATATACAGTATATGGCAGTTTTATTCTAAAGAATAGTATTATTATTATTATGAATAGCCTAAAAATAAAAGTGAGTGTGAGTATAAAATAGTAGTAATATAACTATGAATAAAATAGCAAATTGTATACACACACACACACATATACATAAATAAATTACATAAATTGTAAAATAATATAGTCAATAAAATAAAAATGCTAAATAAAATAGTGAGTAGTGAATAGTACAATCATATAATAGGCCTAGTATAAGTCGTATAATAATATCATATAACATAATACGCAGAAGAGTTGCAGTCCCTTGGAAATGCCGAAAACAGTCCATGATAGGCTTTCTTCAGCCTTCCTTGAGGTTTGTGTTGTCCTGGTTCTACTGGCTAAAATGGGCAAAACATAAATGAGCCACGATTATATAAGCAATCTAATCAGCTGCTCTTCGGAGATGAGTCTGTAATTCTGACAGCCTGATCTGTCCTGCCAATCCTCTGGCTCACTGCATTGCACGGAAGACTCACTTGTGATTTAGATTAGCTCATAAACTATAGAATAAGCTCCGACTTAATACGAATCATGTAAACTTTATATTATTTCTTATAAAGTCTCAGTTTACATAGCCTTTATTGTTAGCTATTATTCTGACTTTGGTGGCTAACTAATGTCAACAATGTTATAATGACAAAATAAAACCAAAAACAACTATTCAGACTTCCATGCGAAAGGTAATTTCCCGAGAAATAATTTGGATCTTACGACGATTTGTAAAACCTCAAAATAGTCAGGGAGTCAGAGATCTTTTCTTCAGCCCACTTATGAGTTACTGCAAGTTGCCCGGACAAATATGGCAGCGCCGTTGGTTAGAAAGGAATCAACAGTACAACAACATGGAAACCAGTCTTTATATTTGGTGGTTTTTGTGGTCGTACAATGAGAAAGAATAATTTCATTATAACTTAGAAAACAGTTTGTGAATTTTACATTGAGCACAGTAGCCTTGCACAATGCACAGTAAATAATGTGGGATACTGGTGACAGCTTGTTAGCTTAAAAAAATAAAATATGTACAAACTTTTTTCAACTGTTTACAAAACATTACACATATTGCAGATTCTCTCCTCTCCAAAAAGAAACACTGAAACAATGCACAACAGTTTCTAAGTATGAATCAGTTCTTATAAAACAAGTCTTGCTTCTTTTGTTCTAATGTGCACTTTTTAGACAAATATGTACAATATGATTCAGACACTGCTTTTGAAGAGCATGTTCAGTGAACTATATATATATATATATATATATATATATATATATATATATATATATATATATATCTCAAATAACCTTAGAGTTAAGCAGATATGCTTACACAATCTACCTCAAGAGTAAAAACATCCTTGGCTGAATTATTGTACTTGTACCATTTCTGTACATCTGTGACTGTACATCAATATTCCTGCTCGTATGTATCCAAAACTGCATCTTATAGGAAAGTTTGAACATGTGCAAGAAACAATGTGACAATCTGTCACTGATAATATAACTGATATTATACTATAACTGCTATTTGAATTTATGTGCTTAAAATAATATCCCTCATGCTATGGAGTATGATTATCTGTATAAGCACACGTGTGGGTATAAAAATATGCAGACTGAAAGAATGAAAAAAACATAGGTAGATAGATGGATAGAATGAACGACAGACACAGATAGATAGATAGATAGATAGAAGCTTGTGTCAGTGGTTCAGCGAAACATTTTTATATCTTTGGCTGCACGTTTCACTAAAATTATTTGAAATGTCTGATTATATCTATTCAAAACTAACACAATGTGTCTGTCTGTGAGCAGGAAAGCAATAAATGGATCTAAAAGATTTATGCCCAACAATTCTGTCCTTTCATTTTTGATACGACTAAACCTCTTAAGAGGCCTGAGCTAGTGCATTTATCCATGTATGTCATTTTGTAATCCTTTTTGAATTTTAGAGGCATGCATTTAAAGTACAATATCACTTAAAGCATCAATCTAACATCTGACCTCACTAATCAAAGTCTGTCTTATGTCTGAGGGGAAACAGTGTCCTTCCACTTCCATTTTCTGTCAGCTTAACCACTTGGCACCCAGCAGCACAAGATGTAGTTTCAATCCAAGAGATGCAACAAATGGGAACTTCCAAGAACTTGCAGAGGAACAGTTGATCTCTTGTTGAACTGAAAGGCTTAAAATGTTGAGGAAGGCTCAGGGTGACTGAAAAAACTTTAGGTGTACATAGACAAAAACAGGATGTCAGTGCAACAGTTTCTAATACTTTCAGTTCATGTGTTGGCAGTCGGAGCTGAACACCTGAAAAAGAGAACACAACTGAAATGAGAAAAAACCTGGAGATCTGAAATATGATCAGATTACATGTAGCTTCAAAATATTACCTGCATGTATGTCCTGATATGATGGCCTCCCAATGGCAAGCTTCCATTATGAACCTTCTTTGCACTTGTCGGGTATCCAGTTGTCCATCGACCCCCTCAGATGTGGGATGATGGACAGAGGCAATAAGAAAGCGGGAGCACGCTTTTGCACACACAAACACACACGTTTACTTGTTTGTGTGTATATGTGTGATGTAAGATGTAGGGAAAAGAGGTGCAGCGGTTTGTGGAGGCCATTCACAGGCAGGTAAGTGCAGGTGCAGTCAATGTCATTTATGACTGGGGCTGACCACAGTCGGGGTTGGAGGGTAAACTAGTGCCACGTTGACCCGCTCCGAGCCATTCATGGGGCAGATCATCTCAGTAAGTCCCTCAGGTCGGGGCTGGCTTAACAGCTCACCTATAATGTCAACAAAAAGATAAAATTGTTTTGTAGTCACACTGGTTTACACAATATAACATCTTACAGAAGATTTTGGGCTCCAGAATTTAAAATAATTGAGAGCACCAAAATGACTTTTTTAGTTCCCAACTTACAGAATCACTTAGTTACACTGCTCTGCATTATATTTGCTGAATTAAATCCAACACTTGTTTCTTAAGCATTTTGGGGTGCCGATTCCAAAAATAGTGCCTGTTTTTCTCTAGCATGTCACACTCAGGTGAAGAAGTCTTGTATTATCCCGTAATCACCAGAAAAGCTGCCACAAAGACATGATTCCTTTCTTCCTCTGTGTCAGGTTATAACTATTTACATTTCCAGTCAGTTTTCACATGTATGAATGATTCTGAAGACATTATTTTATGCCTAATCCTGATTTCAAGGTTAGAGTTATAAGCAGTGACAGAATAAAAAGCAAACATTACCCTGACGCTTTCTACTAAATCTGGGGGTGTTTTACTACATCAAATCAGTAATAGAAAATTACAGATTTTGTGGGAAAAATATATATACACACACACACACACACACACACACATTTATTTATCAATCAATGTTCTTTGACATAGGCTACTTTCTTTGAACATTATTTTCCACTCCCTTGAATATTGTAAGTTCAATTATACATTTTGTATACTTCTTTTTGTCATAGAAACTCTTGGCATTTGACTGCTTATGTTATTTTGATAAGTTCATTAAAGCTGATTTTTTTTTTCTAAAACGCAAGGATGTGTAATACTACTAATAAGTGTGTCAGACCTAAAGAATACTTCACAGTAATGGTTCATGGTTCATTTTTAATCAAACATGACTCGTGGTTCAGTGAGGGCCTTGTTGTGAACTCTGTTCTGAACAATTCATTCAAAATGCTTCCTCAAGAGGGAGCTCAAGGCTGTTTCGTGAATCTTTTTGACTCTCTCACACACACACACACACACACACACACACACACACACACACACACACACACACACAG